TTTAGATGAACGCCTCTTAAACTCGTTTATAATAAAATGGGGTAGGTTCGAAAAGCCTGGAACGGATTGAGCTGTTTTTTTGCCAATGTGGCCAGATCACACACAAATTGATTTCTGGGTGATTTTCATGACAATCTTGCTAACGGAAGAAACTGTCGAAATCCAGGAGTCTCCCGGCCAATCCGGGAAACTTTGCAGGTATGCTTGTGTAGGCTAAGCACCCTCCGCGTATTTCACTCGGGAATGCTTCGGCGCTGTGTGAAAAAATTCAAAGCACGAAAATACGCAAGGTGGCTTTACTAACAGGCACTCGCATGTTGGCATCCAAGCCGTCTTCATGATTACCGGAGGCCCTACTCATTCCCCCCCATTGCTCCTCTCTTCCCTTTCGGACACAAGATCCTGTACTCGAAACATCCCTCAAGAAGACGAAAACGAATATCTTTTTTGTGTGTGTGTTCAAGGGCTAGTTATGCATGAGTCGCCACCACTGCATGCCATCTTTCCACACAAAAACCGCGCTCCTGCCGCAAGAGAAAGCTAACTCGCCTAAAATTCTTGAGAAGATGCTGCCTTATAGCAGATGACACAATGTAACCCGTAAAAGCACACTTCTCCCCCCGGATGCTAGAGGGGAGTACATTCGAATCTCGCAACAATGAAATTGAGGGTGCGGGCGAAAAATTTCGTTGTCGCAGAAATTTGTTGTTGCAATATGATAAAATACATTCATGACACTCGACTCACTCAAAAACAAGCTTTAATTCCAAACATCGTCAACTTTGCCTGTTTTCGCTTCTTGCCAAGCGATTGTACAACACGACTTTCGCACACCGCCAACAGAGCCATTGCTTCGTCATCGTCCTGCGCCCCGATGTAACGCCTGATGATGTCGAATGTGGCCAGCCCCGACGAAGTCAGTGGTAGTACGAGATCGCGTTGCGCAGTCATCTATCATCTGACAAAGCACTCTCTTCTTGTACCCTTTTTATGATGTCTTTGTCAGAGATTTCCTCGCACATCACCATGTCAGAGAGTCAGCTTGGAGGAACTCGTTGAGATACACACTGGCAGGCACATCACCTTCTTGCAGGTCTGCCCATGTGACTGCGATTTCTTCGTCGGGCGATTCGTCCTCGTCGCAAGCTTCAATCGCAGAACCCGAAGTCTCTGCCCTCTCCGCAGTGAACTCTGCATGGCCAAAGCAGTTCGCGACTATGGCGCGCCCCGTCTCGCTCCATGAAGCAGCAATCATTTGGAGCGCCATTTATAGGTAGATTTTCGTCTTACGCCCCAACTGAGGTTCAAGTTAGCTTCTGAATAAGAGGCTTGCGGTTATTGCTTTTAATACTTTGGATGACCCCCTGGTCAAGCAGCTGAATGATGGACATTAGTTTGGGGCAGAAACTTGAGTTGCATGTTTTGAGCTCCACGCCCTCAATGGCGTGCGCAGTACAATTGTCTAAAAGCAGACACACCTTTCGGCCTTGCCTGCCAATGTCCGGGTCGAATTCTCTAGCCCAGTCGCCAAAAATTACAGGGTCATCCATGCCCAGCTGCTGGCCTCGTACCTCATTGGAAAGTGCAAATTTCCCTTCAAACAGCGTGCTTTCGCGCTTTTCCCATAACCAAAAGAGGCAGCTTATCTGAGCCATCCATACTGGCAACAGAAGCACGGTTATCCTTTTTTTGCTGTGCTTCCCTTGCCCCTTGAAGTCCAGAGTCTTGTTGGGAAGCATGTTGTGTAGAAGAGGCCTGTCTCGTCGGCGTTGTATATGCGACGGTGCGTAGTCCGTCAAGATGCTCCCGAGGCTGGCCGACATTCAAGCGGTGGCACCGTCTGTATCCACCGAAGCAGCTTCACCGCACAAAACTTTGCCGGTGATATTCGGCAGGCTTTGAAACTGTTCAGCCAACCTACGCTGGCTTTAAAATTGTCGATGCCGAGCACGCATGCAAAATCCAACGCTTTCTGTGGCACAATATAGCCGCAAGGGCAATTTTCTTCGCCTGCGTCTAACAAACCAGGTGTAGACAGTCTTGTCTAAGGCTTCGTGCGTTGGCTGCGTCAACTTCTTGTGTTTCGCCGACGTTCCCTAAGAAGAGCTTTGATTATGACGTCCTTGCTCTTCAATATAGTTAAAACAGAGCTCACCACAATCGCAAACTCTTCAGCGATTCAGAACTTATTCTCCCAGCGTCGGCCTCGGCGATAATGCGAGCCTTGTCTTCGAGCGACAAAAACTTTACTTCTTCCCCGGCTGATACTGGCTGATTCGCGACAACGCACTTTTGGGAACAATGACCGCAATGCCTGCAACGGCTCGTTGTGCAGCTAGCCAGTGAAACCGAAGCACCAGAAGTCGTCACCCAAACATCTCGTCGCACCCTACCGGGATTTGGCACGCAATTTCAATTTTGGTGTGTACATAAGCAGAACTCCTGACAATGAAAACAGTTTCAAAACTTCATAAGAATGATTACAGATAGTAAAAAATAATATTGCGTGCTGTTTGTACGCAGAAACGATTCAACACTTCTTTTAAACTTACTTGAGAGAGCGCTTGTGTCACCATCATCTCATCATCGTCATCATATACCACGGCATGCTATTTTGTTTACGTTGCACAAGTCAACATTGCGTGCGGTATGTTTGCTCCAAGCAGCTTCTCATGTGCTATTATTATATCATGTTATTAAGGTCCGTGGTTTGGCAAGACATTAAAAACACTTTTGAGATTTTTATAAGCTCTACTTCAATATTATCGCTAATAGTTGTTCCACAAAAACTTTGTTGAAGTGGAATCATAGCCGTGAAGAAGTTCGTACTGGAGGAATTTCGAAGCATTCGTTGAAGCCAACTTCGTTATGGCGGATTCGACTGTACCTATTCCGCTGGGACGACTTCTACTCGTCCAAAGCAGTTTGGTAACAGTTTGGGCAGGACAAGCTCTGCTCGTCCAAAGCAGTCAAGGGGTTAAAGGATCAGGTAAGCTCTATACCCACATGTATTTTAGGCAGACTTTATGTACGTTTTTTTCCATAACGATAGGTTATAGTAATTATATTACTATCATTGTTATCATAAGCCATTCCTTTTTCTTACTGAAATAGAATTATCCCTGTAACTCTTAATGCTTTTTTTGCAATTTCTTTTATTTAAGGTACCCAATTATCACCCACTGATCGGTATTAGATGTATTAGAAAAAAGTACTTGCTCACTAGAATAATTCTGCTTCAGTATATTCTCTAGTACGCTCTTCAGTATATTCTCTAGTACACTCTCTAAATACTGTCTGAAATTTATGTTTCTAGATACTGTGGTGCTGAAAAAAAGGAACAAAATACAAAAAATCAAGTTTTGAAATAATCAGGTTTCAAGTGAAAAATACTTATTTCAAAAGTACCACAACATAACTGCCAATTTAAAGACATTTTTATTAGGCAGCAGCCATATACTCATTACCAATAGCACTTTTCTTTTTGAGGCCTCCTTTGTCGCCTACTTCGCAGCCCTGTCAGCAAAGTACTGTCGATGCAGGTCAAGTGCGCACAGACCCTGCACTGTGTAGCGACCTGGCGAAATTCCAAACAAGTTCAGCACATTCACACCGAGCTATACTGCCATCATTAAAGCTGATTACAGCGTCAAGACTGCATATTTTCAGTGTTAGGTGTCCGAGAAAAATTTTTTTGGAGCGTGCTTCCATACGACATTGCTGAATGACTCGATGGGGTTTCGAGTTTTCCCGTGGAGGCATTTAGCAAGTAATTGGGGATTCAAGTTTCTCATAAATTGCCTTAACAGCCTTAAGAACAGCTGCCGGAAGGTGTTTTTAAGAATGTATGGTTCACCACTGAAGTGGGCTTTATTGAATTAAAACCAGGTATCAGCGTCCTTTAGGCAAAGGCCGTGGGATGAAGTGGTATTCAATGATGCCATGTGAAAATATGGCCCGGCAGCCTTTCGTATGTCCTCTAATCTCGCTATATTTCTTCTAATGGCTAAACCATATTACTTTTGGAACTCTGCGAACACGCGCAAAACACACGTGCAAGAAAAACGTGCGCAAAGTACTTTTAAATGCGGTTGAGCATAGACTCGACAAATGAAGCACTTGTTGCCAGACCAAATATCGTTCCCACTAAACTTGTCAAAAAATTAGTGCCCTTCATTTCGGTGCATTTTCAGCTGCCCACTGCGCACTCAGGTGAAGGGTCCTAAGGAAGGTGAAGCAGGCCGCCGCATAAGTTTCGAAATATGTGGTTTTTAGATAGAAAGGACTAGAACAAACAAATGACTGATTCTGGTTCGAAAAAGGCTGCAGATTTCAAATTGCACGTAAAAAACTTTTTTTTTTTTTTTCAATATTTTTGGTTACCCTGTCCTTTTTACTGCTTTGGACGAGCAGAGCTCGTCCTGCCCAAACTGCTTTGGACACGCAGAACTCGCCCTAGGGGAATAGATACTCCACTCTACGTTCAGGCACAAAATTGCGCATTTATGTGTTACATTGCGTGTCATCCACTAGATGGCTACATTTTTCAACATAGAAAACATTTTTTCAACATTGACTAGTCACTTTCTAGTACAATCAGAATCGAAATCAGCAGTAAAAAAAATAGGCACTTTTTGACCAGAATTTTTTTTCTTTAATGGGCAGTCAACAGATTAAGATAATACCAATACTGCAGCAGTGATACTTTCATCAGGTAAACTCAAAAGCAGTCACCTCTCCCCTCTCTTCATACTGTAAGCCAATGTGAAGAAAAATGGGAAGAGCAATGCAGCCTTCAAGAAAACCTGCTAGAGTTTCATGACCAGAAATTTTAAAAGCCACTGGCTTAATAAATGGTTTATTTTTCCACAATAAAATGTAGCTATAGGCTTACCCTGATGATTGACCTGAGGTGCAGTAGGTGGTGCTGGAGATTCATCGTCTTTCCAGTTCATTGAATTAGTGGTAGCAACCGTGGGTGCTGACGAAGGTGCTTCTGGGGGCTGCCACTTGTCAGAGATGCTTGTGAAGAAATCTCAACCTCTGGGACTAGATGTGCTGTCCCATTTCGCATGACCTGCTGCCCAGCAAAGAAGGTTTTTCACTTACACAGGTGGCTGTCAATTAAGACTTCTACTATACTGCGAAGCTAGCAAGACCATTTTTTCACAAGTTGGGTAACTGGCCTCACCTGAGAATCAAAATAAGCAGGCCGACCAGGAGTTTGAGCCACACTGTTGGAAGGTGGACTGCTACCACCATTGCCCAGCTGCTCTCCCCGAGGAGGACGGGTGCTTCATTCACCAAAGCAGTTGTGGCATCAGCAGTGTGCTGTACCACTTCCGAATGCGCAGCTTGATGGTGTGCCATTAGGGGCTCGGAAACCTCTTCCTGAGCTTGCTCAGCAGCCGTATTGCCTTCTTCCTCTTCCTCCTCCTCTGTGAATACCTCATCTTGGTAACGGAAGATGTCATTGCGCACATAGTACTTCAGAGGCTGCTGAGGTGCCAGAACGAATGTCTGCATAAAACGACGCATGGGTTGGCCAGCATTGGACAACTCTCCTGTCACCTACAAAAGCAAATAAGAAAAATTATGCCCATAAAAATAAATTAGACAGCACCACAACTCCCTAATTACAGAATTCGGATGCAGAAATCCAAGCTAACACAATGCGTCACTCACTCTCACTGGTTCAGCCCAGTGTTTCTCGAAATATATAATCTCAATATTTCTATTGTCAGAAATATTCCCACGTCAACCTTGACATTTTCAACTGCTGACACATTCAGATATCTGGGCAGCAAACAGAGAAAAGTTCTACTCTAGTGGGCACAGGTCGCCTAGGTTAGAAATAGACAGCTGGGACTTTTTTCAGTGCGAAGCTCTTATAACTCGAGGAAAAACATCTACAATCGAACTCTGCTACAACGAACGCCGTTTCAACAAAATTTCCACAATAACGAAAAATTCACGGTTCCGCGTCGGCAGTCCATAGAAGTCACGACGCTCGGCAGTCCATAGGAGTCAACGAATAATAACGCCACAATGAGCACTTTTTTTTCTGCCGTCCCACTTCAACGAAATCACGATGCAATTACAGGCTCAGATATTTATTGCAATACAGTAAACACAGTCTTTAACATTTTGATGCATTTCAGAACTCGGAAATACGTCGAAGAAGTCAACACGCGTTGGCACCACCAGAAACCGCCGCTGTTCAGCAAACATGGGTGCCTCCTTTGCTCGATAGTGATGGCAATGAGACTGCCCTGCTTTTGCCACTTGCTTGATTTTAAGCTGCAGACGTTCCAAAGCTGAAGCTCAGTTGCTCAGTTCATGGCTTTCTTTCACGCAGCTGTGTGGAATGACGCCTTCTTCGATGCCAATGAGTGTCAATTTGTTCGCAGCCGCGAGTGGTGGATAAGAATGACGTACAATAAGGCAAAAGTCACCGCTTCAAGATACCCTGCCGCCATCTCGGTGTTGTCAGATGCACTTTAACGGCGGATATCTGCTGGTTTTAACGTGTCAATGCAGCTGTTTGATTCATTCACAAAAGCTGTTGTAGGCCTTGTTTCAGCGTGCTTTTCACCATAGCCTCACTCTGCATGGGTGATAATCGCGTCGCGATGCTGCTGGGAAAGAATAGGACACAGCGGACACTTTTTGAATTTTGAAAATAAACATTCCATTGTTTTCACTTCAATGAAATTTTTTCCGCACCTTGTCATTTTCGTTGCAGCGGGGTTCGACTGTATTGTATGCAAAAACAAAATAAAAAATCTTGGGGTTGCTGCTTATCAATAATCAAGCCACAGATGTGCATTAACTAGGTTTAACCTCGCCTTGTCATGCATACGCCGAGGAGAGGCCATCCCTAAGCCATGCTCTAAGACATCTCCGGAGACAGTCCATGCCAGTGGCGTACCAACTCCTTTGCGAGAAGGAAGGGGCAAGCTTACCTAATTTGTCCCTGCACTAATTTTTATATATATATATGATCGGAGTATCATCCGCATATATCCGCAGGAGGACCTGCCTTCGTAAGGGAATACGGGGTACACGCAAAAATGCATTTTTTAAATAAAGAGTACGGCGGGGGCCCCCAGCATGTGCTTAACTATTATTGTCATAGATATGGCCTACATCATGTCACTATCAATAAACATAGGCATTTGTGTGATATCTTACGACTGCATGAAAAAATTGTGAGCAAGACGCAGTTTTCTACTAAAAGTATGTGGTATGTGCAGCAACATGCAAACGAACAATGCTCCATGGGATATATATGAACGTTGTCACGTTTATATACTGTCTATGATTGTGGATGTGTGCGGAGGATTCATCAATTGCGTGATCATCTCCGAGCAAACACCTCCAACATCACATCCCTTTGTGGATATGGCGGTGATTTTTCATGCATGCATGTTTTTTATGCAGGCACATTCTCCACTACTGGGCAGATCACGCATTAGGTCCTCCCCCCATCGGTGCCCGGACGGCCTACGTCCAGGTCATCTGCCTCTAGCTCTTCGGCAACAGCGAACCGGCATGATCTAAAGCAATGCACAATGGTGTCTGCCTTCACCGCGTTCCAAGCTTCGGCCAGCATATATATGGCGGCGAGAATGTCGACCTTTCCACTGTCAAGGCACAAGACTGCGCGGCTGAGCAGGCAGGCACGGTAGCGTGTCTTGATGTTTCAGATCACGCCTTGATCCATTGGCTGGAGCACACTTGTGGTGTTACGTTGCAAAAATTCGAGCCGAATGGCCTCAAGGTTCGGCACACTACCGGGCACGCCACAGTTGACAACAACAAATACCACTTTTCTCCCTTGCCACACAACTTGCGGTCAAGTGTGCTTATGTATTTTTCAAATAAAGACTCTGTGATACACGCCTCGGAGTTACTTTCGTAGTCTATAGGGAGGGTATTCCCGGCCTTAAGGGAACCGACTCACTTTAGACACTTTTCTTTATTTGTTCAGTGATCTTGATGAAACTGCCCAGGCTTGTGCAGTTTTTCTGCTGCTTTCAATAGTCAATCAGTTTTCCTGTAACTCATCTCATTCCCAAGAATATGCAAGTTCAACCCCCATTGTTTAAGGCCTCATTAGAAAAAAATGCTTAATTAAGGGGAGACGCGGGTCGAAAAATCGCGTTTTTCTGGAAATTTTCACTTTTTTGTTTTCAGTCGTATTAGATTCTTTAAACATTCATGTTTACCAGAAATAAATTTCAATCGGTAATTCGTGTCAGAAGTTACTGAAAAATGTGCTCAAGTAAGCCCCGGAGACCTAGAAAATCGCTGAAATCTGCCGAAATCGACGTTTTGCCGGCCCCGGTATCTCGAGGCAGCGGCACCGTGCGCCGTTTGTAATCACTGAGGCGGTTAGAGTTGTCCATGCTCTCTTGAACACAGGCTCGAAAAGTCTCGTCCGGAAAGAAAAAATTACTATAAAAAATCCTTTTTTGAACGCCCCTGCGTGCCGTTTGAATAGCGCGGCGTGTCACGTGGTGCCGTAGCGAGCCCGCCTTTGGCTAGCACAGTGCCCGCTTGTCCCTTCGGCCCCGCTCTGCATCGCAAGCTGAACTTCGCAAGGATTTATTCAATTAGTTACGCGATGAATCCTGCCAGAAAGCAGGTTTACAAGGTGAAAAGTACCGGACGATAAACAAGTATGTGGGAAAACGTCGTAAAGTGCGTCGTCAGACTGCGGCAAAGGTGAACGGCCCGGAGAGGTCTAGGCCGGAGGTCGGAGGATAGTTGCCCCAGCATCGGCAACTATCGCGACAGTGACTTTGCCGGCGACCTCGACGCTGCCGCAAACTTCGTCAGCGCCTCACAAAAAAACTGGAGTTTTTTGAGAAGAACCAAAGGCATGCGCATGATGGCGTATCATCAGCAGTGCTGTGCGACATCGATGCGATGACGGCACTTGTGGGCGGAGCGGAGTGCCCGTCTTGCCGTGAACACAAACTTGTTCGCGAGGTGGCAGAACGGCGCAAAGGACTGTCGTCCTGTCTCGAGTTGCGGTGTGAGAACAGTGAGTGCGCGTCTGGTGAGTGCACGTCTCGACACATACGTCGAGGCGTGTTGCCTCTGGCGAAGCCGCCGCAGCATCCGACGACTGCGCGGAGGTGGGGCACTACGGCAACGGCAGCTCGCGCGATAGCTTCGCGGCTAATGTGAAAGCTGTTGTAGCCTCGCGTGCCATAGGCATCGGACATGACCAGCTTTCGCGGTTTTGTGCGATTGTTCGACTAGCGAAGCCCATGCACCACAAAACCTTCCAGGCAATCAGCAAGAAGGTTCACGATGCTGCTATGAGGGCCGTGACCGAAAATTTGAACCAGGCAAGAGCCGTAACAAAGCAGGTGGTTGATAGTAGTGACGTGGCCGTAATGTATGATGGAACTTGGCAGAAACAGGGCCATAAAAGCCACAACGGAGTCGGCGCGGCTATCTCCTTGGACACCGGCCTGTGCTTAGATTTCGAAGTGCTGTCGAATTACTGCCACGCTTGCAGTCTACACAACGACATGGGCTCTGAAGAGGAAATCTGGCAGGCCTACCACAGACCTGTCTGTGAGAAGAACACCGACAGCTCCGCTCATGGCATGGAAGCTGAAGCAGCACTACGGATATGGGAGCGCACTTTGCTGTATGAGACTCCACTTCGCTTCGCAACATTTCTTAGTGATGGCGACAGCAAAGCATATACGGAGTTTGTGATGCCAAGGTGTACGGTGCAGGTGCCATCTGCAAGGAGGACTGCACTAATCATGTTGCGAAGTGCCTAGGCACTGGCATACGCAAATTGCCGACACCACTGCCCAGAGGTGAGAAGCTCAAGCCTGCCACCATTGAAAAGCTGCAGACATATTATCAGATCGCCATCACGGGCAATAGAGGCAACCTACGGGACATGTACACTGGCATATGGGCGTCCTACTTTCACTCTTGCTCCACTGATGGTGCTGGCAGCCACAACTTCTGCCCACCAGGCCAAGAATCGTGGGGCAAGCACAAGCGTGCTGAAGCAATGGGCGAGCCTGCACCACAGCATACACCACTTCTGACAAAGGCACAGGGCCGGGCACTGCTGCACATATACAAGCGCCTTTTTGACGAGAAGCTGCTGGCCCGATGCCTTCGAGGGAAAACTCGGAACGCTGCTGAGTCTCTCAACAGCAAGGTGTGGCTGCTGTGCCCAAAAACAAAGTTTGCTTCCCGAAGTGCTGTGGAGACTGCCACAGCCATTGCTGTGCTCTGGTATAACCTGGGCCATGCAAGCTTCAAGGTGGTCCTGGAGGAGCTTGGTGTTCTACCACCAGCAAGCTTGACCACCCTGGGGGACTACAGCGACAAGAGGCGCATTCAGAAGATGAATGCCCAACAGACTGCTGAGGCGAGGGCTCACCGCCGCACATCGGCCAAGAGAGCTCGCCTACAGGACTCCGCTCGGAAGGACCGCGAAGGAGTTACATACAGTGCGGGTGAATTCTAGTCACCGTGGCCAGCTCCTGGACATACTGCCTGGACACACTTTTGAGTGTTTTCAAGTGCGCCCTAATTAGTAAACATGTTTCAAACTTTCAAACGTGTTTTTCTCATTTTGAAATTTTTGGCCACGGTCACATTTCACTCGCATAGTTTCATCCCCTTAAAATTGTCCTATTGCGATGAAACTTGGCACACACATTCTTCAAGGTGTGTAGAGTGCCGTTATCTATTCTGATTTATGATGCATAGCCATTATCAATAAAAACATACCAAGAAATGATACAAGGAACCCTGAAAAAAAGAAGTTTGGCAGGTCGTTCATTTTTTGTAGTAACAGCTTTTTTTCTCGTAATTTTAACCTCCTAAATGCACACAGTAGTTCATGACAAGCATAATAAGCTATTACACAAACATCTACACAAAAGTTTTGATGTCGAAAAAGCGAGAGTAAAATCCCTTTGTTTTGCTATTGCATGTATAATAACTTTAAAAGTAATGAGGCTACACAAAATCTGATAACAGTTTGGAATCTACAAGAAAAAATCTCTGTGGCTAAATTTTGGAAACCCTAACTTGAAAACTAAAGAAAAAGTGTTTTCGAGTAGCGTCTCCCCTTAAAAGTACATTTAAGATATGGCAGCATAGATTAATGATTGAAGATTGAAATTATGGAAGTAGTTTATTTTAGTAGGCTTTTTTAAGTTATTTATGGCAGAATGAATTTCCCACTCTAAAAAAGCTGTTGCATGCTATTACAAATTTGATAAGATTATTGAAAAGGCTTGTTTTCTAAATTCCATTTCCGTACTTGCATTCTACACACATACAAGTTTCCATTGCAAAAAGAAAATTATTGCTCTAGCTGCCATAGCTGCCGAAATATTGAGGCCTCAAGATTCAACAGTCATTAATTCATATTTTGAGAAAAATAGCAAAAACAGATAACACACTTTATACAAACAATAAGATGTATTGACAAAGTAGTACTAATAGCCACCAGGAACATAGTCCGACTGGAGCTTAGCACTGCAATGCACTTCTTTAGCGCTTGCTGGAGTTTTTCACTGAGGCACGCTTGCCGTTTTAGTCGGCCACTCGCCACCTGTCCTTCTCGGTCATCCTCTGACACTTGGAGGCTGGAATTGAGATTGAGTTCGTCGAGGATGCCTGTCTGCCTTCTCAAGTTGCCGCCGTTGAACTTAATTACGTCTCGGCAACTGCAGCTTCAACCGCTGTTTAGGTGCCAGAGCCCAGATCATAAAATGAAGGCGTTCATTGCTATTCTGGGCTTTACCTTTTTTTGGCACCTTTCTAGAAGCCCTTTACCAGACAGGCGCTCATACTGGCAGAAGAGCCTCACACATGTTGAGGCAAATTGTAATGGTGCCTTGGAGTTGGCTGCCCTTTGGCAGCAGCTGCAATCTGCCAGCACCTACAGTTTGGGCCTGTGGGACACAAGCTGATATGTAGGTTTAACGTCCCAAAACCACCATATTATGAGACGCCGTAGTGGAGGGCTCCGGAAATTTCGACCAACTGGGGTTCTTTAACGTGCACTCAAACGTGAGCATACGGGCCTACAACATTTCCGCCTCCATCGGAAATGGAGCCGCCACAGTCGGGATTCGAACCCGCGACCTGCGGGTCAGCAACCGAGTACCTTAGCCACTAGACCACCGCGGCGGCGCATCGGACACAGGCTGCGTTTTGACTCACTATCATTAGAAGTGACGTGATAGTAAATCGCCATCAATGCTCTGTGCATGCCGTCAACATCTCCTTTGCGAGATTTAAGCGCCCAGCCATAATAGGAACTCAACTTTGTGATGAGGTCCCCGTTAAGCTTTCACCTTCCTCCAAGGGTTTCACCGCACTTCCTTTTTGTCTTGCTACTAAATTGCGTACAAGGTTTGTACAGGCTTTGAAGGCAAAAAATCAAGGGTTTTTAAGGACTTTCCAGGCGTTGCTTTGATTGATCGAGCGTTGGATGCACGCACACTTTCAGAATTCTGTCGTCGCCATACATGGTTGTGTCAAGAACGACCGCGGTTTCGTCCACAGCGGTTGTAAAGACAACTACACGCACTGTAAAAGACTGCGCATGCGCTGGCTGCACGCTTACTTGCGAAGCTTCAAGCGCTGCTCTCGGCATTCGTTTGACGGTTTCGGTACTGAAGTTCATACCACCCGCTGCAATCAGGAAAACTGTTCGGAACATTAGAATTTTGGCTCGATGGGCACAGTGGAACTTTGCTGGGGAATTTCACGAATTCGTATCTGCCGCGGCTTTGCATCACTGAGATTGTACTGAGATTCACTGAGAGCGTTTAGACGAATGCCTTCTAAATTCGTTTATAATAAAATGCGGTAGGTTCACAAAAGCCTTGAGCGGATTGACCTGCATTTTTGTCAATGCGGCCAGATCACGAACAGAAATTTCGATTTGCGGGTAATTTTCCCGACTACCGTAAAAACAAAAACTGTCTAAATCCCGGAGACTTGGCAGGTATGCAAATTTTTACGGTATGATCAATGGTAATGATTACTTTCATGATGGTTGCAAAGACTGCAATGACCTTGCAAGGTTTTCCAGAAATTCCACAACTATCCCCCTCTTATCCAGGCATGTCCGAATTCCTTCCCAACTTTTTCAGGTTTTACAGGCTGGTGGACATCCTGAATAATATTCGGCTCGCATATTTATGGAGCCTTGACTACTGGTTGGGAGCATTATCTGAATATGTGCAAGAAGTCCTGCAGGACCTCTTTGCTAAAAATAAAAATTGCACTAATTAACACCCCAGAAGGCAATAGGGTTTTTTCAGGACATATTTATCGACAGTGGTCAAGCAGATGCTGAGGACAACAGGCATTTGTCCATCTGCAAGATCTCTGGCGCAAATTACATCATCATTAAAAACCCATCACTGCCAGCATTGCTGGGTAAATACTAACATGTTCTTTCAGTTACGGAGGTACAGAAATACTCACCTGAATAACGACACCTTCACCCAAAGTAGTGAGCGAGTCCACTTGCTTGATCTTTGCATGACAGTCACGGAAGTTAAGCTGCATGATGCGCTGATGGATGTCATGCTGACCCATCGCACACTCCTGCTTTTCAGGGCCCCCATGCACAAAAGAGGAGTCCTGACTGTAGAACCTGTAAAAGATCATGCAGAAATTCCCAAGCATTAAACTTAATGCAAGCTAAGAACATCAGCAGTGAGGCACTAACGGGTCCATTAAAGAACAGCTGTCACCAAGAAGAATGATTGAACACAAGGAATAATGTGATATCTACCTGCTAGCTAGGGCAGGCTACTGTGAGATGTAAATACAAGAGCATTAAACAACTGGAGTTAAATTTCTGAGGCTGATGGCAACATTCACGACTAGAAAGGAAGCATAAATGAAGCTTATTTACTAAAATTAAAGGAGCAGTGGCATCAACTTTACACGTCGCGTTTTTCTACGTCATGTGTAGTTCTTGGCCCTTTAGTGAAGACTTTCAATTGATAATGCAACAAAGGGGCCAATAAAAAATATCTCTAACATTGACTTGTAGGACCAGTATATTGCGTGATTCAAAATGCCAATTCGCAACACTGGCAGTGCTGCCAAGCAGCCACCTCGGGTTGTAAACAGGGTACCTACCGAGTTGGTATTAGGGTACCTACCAATTTGATATTTCTAAATTCCCCAACTTTTACAGGTTTTCCATGATGATTAAAAGCAAATTCCACGACCACCACAACTGCATAAAAAACTGCGCGGTGTAAATGAAACCTCGAATGGTAAAAAAAAATGGGTGCTTCATATAAAAACATATTTACTCGACGCACTCAGAATGTTCCGAGCGCATGCAGTAAACATGGAATAAAGACCCTGAGCCAGGCAGTGAGCAAGTCAGCTGTTTGATGTTCGGAAGAACCGAGAAGTAAACACAAGTTGAAACACAAGTTGAAAGTAACCGCAGATGAAAGTTTGAAAGAGCCTGCAATATTCCAACATCGCAGTGAAAGCTGCTAGGAAGCAGTAGTGCCATCTTGTGGCATCTGTGCAAAATTAGGACACAAGAGCCTGGCCAGTTCTGCCACTGGAGCACAATATATTTTACTATAATGGCAGTAGCCCACGCCACTTGGGATGTGGATGGGATAGATTTATTGCCTGAACTGCTGTATTTACAGACAACTTTTTAATGTGAATTGAATTAGATTATATTAATGATAATAACAATAATAACAATAATAATAATAATAATATAATAATAATAATATAATAATATAATAATATAAAAAGGCATGTGTAGCCCGGCAAGCTTCTGCTGATGGCACTTCTAGCCTAGACAAACCAGACGACCTTCAAGCAGAACCGAAAATATGGTCTAGATAGCATGCATAAATTTAATTTACAGACGTGAGTGAAGTAGTGGTTAAAGTCAGATATGTCGTGCGATACGTAAAGCAACAGACGACAATATAGTGAAGGTATAATATGGACCTAAGAAATCGCCAGGCAGAAATTTCTTTGGTCTTGTTTATGCAGGGGTGGAAGCGGGCTTCAGTCTTTTGGAGCAGGAATTTAGATCAGCTCGTTACGCCAGTGCTAGGCAATTGAGTGATTATTTTTTATTAGGATACCCCGTTGCCGCCGTGTTCCATGTAAACTACAAGTATGTAACATTCCCCGTGCATACATTCTACCCGCGCGTATAATTGGGCAAGCTGGAGTGATGAGCGCTGCGCAAGCAGAGATTAAACGAGGTGGCCGATCTCGTCGCATAGAGGGCGCACGCGATACTATCCCACCGCGTGTTAGACCTGCTGTCGAATGCTCAAGCAGAGAGGAAACTTGCCGCCCGTCTTGAACAAGCATGAAAAATGTGCGGGGAAGAGGGGGTCGCTCAAGCAGCAGTGCGCTATCGGCAAGCATCAGCGGGAGGCTCACGTGGTGCGCTCTCAATGGAAGAAGATTGTGCGATAGCATTTCTCCTGGAGCGGCTGTACATCCCACACCAGCGGTTTGCAGAGTACCGCGATGCCGGATTTAAAAGCGTTAGCTTTCAGCCTTTGTATTGTCACGTGGATCGCGAGGTTGACGAAGACAGCAGCCGCTGTTTTCATGAGTGAACCTTATTTGGGCGAACCTGTGCCGGAAAACAAACGTCACTCTACAAGCAATATAAGCTGTAGACTGAAAGCTGCAAACCAGAGCGTCGGCCGTCATAATCTGCCAAGCAGCAAAGTGCGTCGGCATTTTACATGTGCCAAGGTATGTAACTGGTAGTATGTAACTGGTAGCGTAACTTCCATAGAAGTCCATGGATCCAGTAGTCAGCGGCTAGTTGCCACCGTCGCCATCTACATGATGAGAGGACAACAGCAAAAAAAAAATAAAAATATGACGTCACAACCGGAAGCGGTTGCAACGTCGCGCATTTGCCCTATATGGCATGAAATTGAAACTTTTCTTAATTGCTGGCCTGCTACATGCCTTTATTACTACGCGTTTTCATTGCGTCTCAATTGTGTCTCGCTAATTTTATGCGAGAAAAAAGAAACAAAACTAACATAGATTGAGGAAGCAAAATTGTTTATTAGCCAAATAACAAACTTGCAATATGCACAAAAAACTTCGCAGAGGCAATTGTGAGACAACTGTTTACGAGCACAATAGCATAATAGTTCGAAAACTCACATCGCCCAATCATTGAAAACTACTGCAGAGACAGCAGTTTTAAAAATAGCTTTGGCAGCCGTAGAGTACAGCGTCTTGTTGCTTAGGCTCTCGCGTTTACAGTCACCAAAAGCGAGGGCAAGCTGGCCGTGCACCAGCGAAAGCAGTCGGCGGTCACATCTACACATTCTGTGAGCTATAGTTGAGCTATGAAATGCACATAAAAAATAAGTGAACTCCTGTAGGTACGCACGAAACCACCACGGAAAGTGAGTGATGCCTCGTTGACCTGGTAATGCGCCGAACTAAAGAACATACCGATACAAGCCTGGATTCTCCCCCCAATCTGTTGGCCCGTGTTACCAGACTACGTGCATGTGCACGCCGTTTTTCAAACCAAACGAAAAAAAAGGGCATTCAGCCACATACCAAAACTTCATTTTTAAGTAATCTACACTATTATTGTAACAAAAAATTTGAAACTACTGAAAATAAACGTTTAGTTATTTTTGTTTTCGCTATTTGTCCCCCTCACCTAGTCGCGCACGCTGTTTTGATAATGGGTTTGAGACCACTTTTCGTTCAGACTTTCGCAATCTATTTAAATTGACCTTGCATGCGCCATCTAAAATTCCCGCGTTATGGCTAGGAGCTGCGCAAGTTCCAGAACAAACTCCAATGTATGCGTTGTGCGCGTAATCTCATCGAAAGGTTCTGAGATTATCTAGATTCTTCCTAGTCATTCAGGAGCGAATTGCGCAAGGCAGCGTTACACGATACAAAAATAGAAAGGGCGTGCAGCATTATCATTACAATTTTTGCTCTTAAAGTCATCTCTTCACCGGTGAAACTAATTTTTATTTTTTTTTTCAGTTTTATGGTTTGGCTAACAGCTTTGCTGTTAAAACAGTCGCATAATGAGGTATGCACACAAACACCACCTTAACAACATTCATGCAAGAACCGAAATACGACGGCACTTAACTAATTTGATATGAACGCGGTCGTGCCTTTTGTCTAGCTCACACGTGTTGCTCGGTTGATGATATAACTTGGTAAAAATGTGTAACAGAGTAATGGGGTATTGTGTGAATTTTACATAATTGGGTAAAGTTTACGAATGCTCATATGTTATTTTGTCTTTATTATTCATATTTGTTGAATGGAGAAGTTTTGCCTTTAACGAGTGGTGGGACACAGTTGGGCTGTGTCCCAGTACTGGTTGAAGGTACTGTTGCTTCTATCACATCTACTCGAGTCAAGCAAAAAGTCAAATCAAGATGTGCCCATCATTCGATCACTTGGTATGCATAAGTATTCTTGGCCAAATTTGAATGGCGTACGTCGCATCGAAGTTATTCATTTCGACGTCGAACACCATAGAAAAGCCAAGGAGAAAAAAACAAAAATAGACTGCCCTGTGACATCAACACTAGTGCTACATTTTCAGTGTGATAGATTCCACAAATACCATCTTGAGTGACGATACGCTAGTAACGATGACGTCGACGATCTCTGAGTGTGTTTGGAGCCAACTCCCAGCTAGTGAATCTCCTTGCTGTGTCGAAGCGTGTGGGATTCATCGTGTCACATCGACTGATTTGCGTTGTGCTCCACTGCGTGCGAGTACGATAATTCAGAGCGACAATACATGCCAGAATGTCAGGGGAGCTGCTGCATAGCAAGGACCTGCAAGTCGAGGCGCAGAAAGTTAGCGGCGTTTCATGCCTTACCAAGCCATGAACCTCAACGCAGCCAGTGGGTTGACTTCATACGCACCGTTGAACAGAGGGACTGGACGCCTCTGAACAGCCGCATTTGCTCCCTTCACTTTGTGGCGAGCTGCTACGGGGTAAATCCTGTGTTGACAAACCAGTTGGGTTTCCCTGGCAGTACTTCGATTTTCAGGCCTTTGGCAACTAGAGGGTCAGTCAGCTAGTTCCGATATAAACAGGAACAGCGTCATGGTCACGTGTGTGGGGAACCCGGGACAACCCGAAGCTGCCCGAAGATCGCAAAATTGAACGCTGGGACAGCCAGCGTAAACGTAAGCTCTACCCTCGTGGCAGCAAACCCGGGACAACCCGAAGCTGCCCGAAGATCGCAAAATTGAACGCTGGGACAGCCAGCGTAAACGTAAGCTCTACCCTCGTGGCAGCAAACGAAACAATTTGCCGCGTGCGTGTTGGTTTTTTTCTCTGCATCGTCTGCTTGAAAATACGTAGCTAAGCTCGCCAAAAAGCTGAAATAATATCCTCGAGCGTACGCATTTGGGGTACGACTTCATACGCTCGCACAATCACTCACCACGAACAAAACAGCCAGCTGGCGCACGCCGCCTCGATAACATGCAAGGCGAGCCACAACGCTGACGGTTCAACAAGCTCACGTTTTCTTAAGTACATGTAACCTGCACAACACGACACGAAATCACATGAAAGTTATCGTGTCCTCACAAGAGTTTGAGGATATATACTGCTC